CTTTTCAATTTCAGCCAGTTTGTGATTGAAAGTAAGTAACCAACATTTCAAGTAACATAGTGAGTGATATTACACATCAAACTCAATTCTTCATTAAACCTAATAATTCATTACCTAAATATAATTTAATGTACTTATTTACAGGTTATATTCTGTGTGAAGGCTAGTGATACTATCCGGTTGCCTAAACCGAAGCAAGTAGGGTGGAGTTCAAACCTGGAGGTGAGTGACTGAAAGTCACACTGCTTAAAAACAGAACCATTGGTTAGGCATAAATAATATTATTTCAGTTTAGAAGCATGATTGAAATAACTAACGAATTATTTCTTTTGATTGAGATCATGAACCGATTGATGTTAGACCATCACAACTGAAAACCTGGAAGCACTGGACGGTCGTTTCGTTCTATTGTGGGACTCCTCAGCAGTGCGCATCCACGATCCCGCTCGCAGGATTCGAACCCAGGGGCTTCGGTTTCGCATGCGAACGCTTAACCTACTGGACCACTGAACCGGCATCCAATGGTGATAGTTTCTGACATCAACCAATCCACGAAATTGCTCGACCAACTTCCATTGTACTGAGGTAGATACCTGTCTCTACCCGACAAGGATTAGCTCTACTGGTCACGGCTTCTCACTAGAACTCCGAGAATTCCTTCACGATGTTAGTCACTAGTGAGCACATGTTGATTATTAGTATAGGGGTTGTGGAGATTATTATGTTTTTGATTGAGATCATGAATTATTAATTAATTGAAAAATAAAGTTTTTGTAACTACGATCGAATATAAATTAAAACGTCCCATTTGAGAATCGATATCTATATTTAATATTGTCTATGATTTAGTGGCATTAAGATTAAATTTTCGTGCACAATATTCAAGATCATGAGTTCAGTTACGTATACTGACGTAGTGAATGTGCACTTCTGAGGAGTCCAATATGATAATGAAACAACTGTCAAGTACCTCTTGGATTTTAATGGATGTCTAACACCGATCAGTTCATAATTTCAGTAATATTAATAGTAGTAGTACTCTTCTATATAGTATAACTAAAATATCTGATATCAGATATACAGTTTAATGGTTTAGAGTAATTTCGAAACTAATATCTGTCTGTTTGGTGACTTTTGATGTCTAACTGATTGGTTGAAAGAAAAAAACCGTTCTGTCTTGTTATCCTGGTGATTCCAACTGTGAACATTGGAGAAATATATATATATATATATATATATATATATATATATATATATATATATATATATATATATATATATATATATATATATACGCAAATATGCACAAGTACGTATGTATACAATTGTTTATGCATTGATAAAAGCAAATGTATGTAATGGTGATTGAAAGACAGAGAAATAATCATTTAAACAAATGACTGATTACTAGTAAACAGGAGATATGCCATGAATATATCAGAAAATAAAACCAATACAGTAATGATAAGGAGTCAATAAATGAAATAAATGAGTTTTATTTCATTCTTCGTTGTACGAAAAGTAATTATAGATCATCTATTTTAGATAGTTCGATTAGATATGAACCAGGATTCAATGGTTTACAATAAACTTACTTCAACCTAATTATCTCTACGAGCCTCCTATTCTAATAATAATAATAATAATAATAATAATAATAATAATAATAATAATAATAATAGTAGTAGTAGTAATAATAATAGTATTAGTAGTAGCAGTAGTAGTGGTAATAGTAGTAGTAGTAATAGTAATAATAGTAATAGTAGTAGTAATAGTAATAATAGTAATAATAATAGTAGTAACAGTAGTAATAGTAATAGTAATAATAACAATAGTAGTGGTAATAGTAATAATAATAATATGCTCACTAGTGACTAATTTCAAGAGAGATAAATCAAGGAGTTCTAATGACAAATTGTAACTAGTGGAGATCGACTATATTTACGATATGAGGCAATTACCCATAAATGGGAATGGATAATATTTAGATAATAATGGAAATCAATTGAACTTAAACATGTAAATCATTCGATCCAAATTCAATGATTTAAGCATTCACTGAAGGTTCCGGTTGTCTGATAGTTTTCTTGATTTTCAATAGTATCTTATCAAGATCAGTTCATAATGTATATTTGATTCATAGTGAGATTAAATTCCTATCAATAATGTAGATAATATTGTTTTAACACTAAAACTTCATTCACATAATTCATTAGAGGAAATATCTAAGTGAATAACTAATACCGATAGGCATGAAATACACCTGTGTATATCAGTTAAAGACCAGTTGTTATGATCTTTAATGATACTATAGTTAATAGAAGAAATTACTTTCAGATCACATACATTCACAGGTATATTGCATGACTTTTCTCTTTAAAACCAAACTTACTATAACTACATATAAACATATATGTCATATGAAGTATATGAAAGAGGAAAATAATGACTTGTTACTATGAGAGTCACGAAAATTTCAGATTGTTTAATGAATAGTAGGCGTGTTCATATGTATGTTTAAGTGGGTACACGTGAATGTATATGCATGCATGGATCTCAATTATCTGGTCTTTTATAGCATATTAAATTGAATATATTTTATAAATGAAACCTTGCAATGTATATACGATACTAATTTGTAATATATTGTGTTATATTGGGTGCCCTTCTTATAAGTGAGTCCAAACTTGCTACTTGAGTGACAAAACCTAGGGTGAATAAGAAATTGTATTGTAGAACCTGAATTTAGAAATATGCATAAACTCATTCATGAATGTAGATTTGTGTCCCTCAGAAAATTAAGCCACATTTCCAACTAATAGGGTATATCGGTCTCTCTTAGATAATGCAAACAAAGTTAGACCAATAGCATCTATTCATTAACATTACTTGCATATCAACTGGCCTTGAACTGACACCTCTGATTAGCACAGAGTAACACTTGACACTGATTAAAACATTTTTTGAGATTTTATATTAAATTATCATTTAATATCTACTTTGAACAGTATGATATGTATTAGGCACTACAAGTCAATGTAGATAATTGAATTACACTGAAATCATGATCCGATTAATGTTAGACTACTATTGAAAACCTGCTAACAACCAATGGCCGTTTCGCCTCAGTATGGGACACCTTAGCAGTGCGCATTCACCATCCCGTACTCTGCAATCGAATGCATGACCTTCAGTATCGTGCGCGAACAATTAACCTATAGATCGCTAAAACAAAATCCAATGGTGTTAATGAATTTCATAATAAGCGCCGAAAACTTGTTTCTTTCAGGATTTCATTGGTGGTCTAACACTGATCGATTTATAATCTCAGTGAAACTTAACAATCACCAGAACTTATACTAAAAATTATCATGTACTCACTAGTGACTTGTTTCGAGAAGCAATTCTCGGAGTTCTAATGAAAAGCCATGGCCAATGTGGTTCAACCGTGTTGGGTGTGAGGCAGTTACCCACCGAAAACAGTTAAAGATGGTTTCACAATATCGTGGATTGGTTGGAGTTGGATAATAACACTGTTGGATCCCGGTTCAGTGGTCTAGAGACTAAGCGTTCGCACACGAGACCGAAGGTCCTAGATTCGAGTTCCGAGTACGGGATCGTATCTATGCACTGATGAAGAGTCCCATATTAGAAAGAAACGGCCGTTCAGTGCTTCCAGGTTTTCAGTGGTGGTCTAGCTTAGATTGACTCGTGAATTTAGCTATTAAAACATTACAATTTCCACAAATCCCTATACTGAATTCTTTATGGTTAAATGAAATTATGTTCAGTCTAATGAACTGTTTGTGGTTTATACAATAATTGTAATTAATTGTTGAAAACAATGGGTGAAATCAGTTAGAATCCGTTATAATAATGAGGATTTTTCAACTTTTTATATCGGTTTAGGTCTTGAATTACGATATCCTGTTGATTTGTCATTATTATTACTATTACGAAATTATTTTGACAACTTCGTTATTCATCTAGTTGTGCTAATATGGTATGGTAAATTTAGCTAATGCAAAACCACATCCGATTTTACAATGATCATGATTGATTGATTAATTGACTGACTGAAATATTCTAGGTTATTTAAGGTCATTAGTGCACACTAATTCGATAATTCTCAACTAGGTTGAATCGACCATCTAGTGATTTATTTAACTAGATGACATGCTTACTGATTAAACAACAAGATAGTTGTCTTAAATAATCGAGAAAAAACAACTGAGTAAATCTATAGAATATCCATTTTTTTTAATAAAATGACATACGATCGAATTCCTAGTCATGAGAGTCAACACAATACTTTGATTGATCTGTAAAAATTAATCTCATTGCCCCCGAACGCCCTGGTACGGCCGAGAGTGGGGAGAGTCCACTCTCCCTCTCGAAATACTCTCACACGGCCGCGCGTATACAGTCTCTGCCAGGGAAGTCCTACTCATTGCCTTCTCGTAGCGGGGTGTTGTTTACGAAAATGAGAGGACGAAAAGCGAACGTCCGGCGCTTTAACCGGATCACAAACCAATGGTGCACATGGGCTCCAGTATCCTGAGGGAACAAATGGCGTATAAACCAATCGTTGGTCACCGGTTACCATGGGATTGCATCTCCTCACGATGTTCCACTGCCTTGTGGGTTAGACCATTAGGTCAAAGGCTCGGAGTGTGGCCCCCTAAGATAATCACCTGCTTCGGTTTGGGCACCCGGGTAGTATCACAGCCCACACACAAACGATGAACTCTATGACTATGGCAACTGTGTGGCGCATATATATTGGCGCTCTCTTGTACCAATATTTATGTGCTCAAATAAATAATAAATAATCTCATTATTATACAACACTATTAAAGAGTGTTAGTGTAAAACTAAAGACGCTAGTAATTCAAGGAAGTGTGTCAACAAAACTATAACAACACCACCACCACCATCATCATCATATCTTATAAATTAACTAGTGTTAATAATGATCAAAGTGGTAAGAGACAACTCACCGTTATCTTCCATATGCAATATATCACCATTAAGCATTTTGTATTATATTATAGTATTACTGACGAGAAGTTTTTCTTTCTTTCAAGAACCACCAGAAAGAAATAAGAAATACAAATCGATGAAATAAATTTTTTTTGTGGAAGGAAATGTTTTGTTGAAGAGAATAAACAGTTTTATTTTATATATGTGAATAATTGATTATTGTATTGAGATTGGTTTTTGGCGGGTTATATTCAATTGAATGTTTTTGTTGAAATTATTCGTTCAAAATGTCTGGAAAAAATATACAAACAGAAAGAGATGACAATTAAATTGTAACATTGTTAGAGGTAGATTTACAAATAAAAATATAGAATAGTTGACTGAAATGATAGAGACGGTGTACAGGTCAGATAGACAGATGCCTTCAATGATATCATATTGTTTTATGGGCTTGATAATTTATAGTTGCGAAGATTTTATTGTCATTTTTCAGTGCTTAATTCATGTTGAAATAAATTTCTTAGTTATTATTAGTTGTCTTATATAGATCAAGAGGTATATCCTGAAGTCCTACTGAGAAATAGTGACCGATGGAGTTCAACCAGGTCTGTTGTGAAATAGTAACTCACTGAAGACAATGGTGTCGCTCAAATTCGTGGATTAGTTGAAGTTGGATGCCTGCTCAGTGGTCTGATGGTTAAGTGCTCCCGTGCGAAACCAGTAGGTCCTGTGTTCGAATCTCGCAGGGAGCGAGGTCGTGGTTGCGCACTGCTGAGGAGTCCCGCGATAGGACGAAACGGCCGTCCAGTGCTCCCAGGTTTTCCATGGTGGTCTAGATTCAACTAACTCATGACCTTAACCATTGAAATCATATAGATCAGTTTGCGATCTTGATAAAATTTAACAATCTCCATAACCACATATTGATGGTTATTATATGTTCACTAGTGATTAGGTTAAAGAGGAAATTCCCTTAGTTCCAGTGAAAAGCCGTGATCAATGGGGCTCGACTGTGTTAGGTATGAGACAGGTCCCCACTGAAGATGATGGTAAGTAGCAATGCAGTATCTCCGATCGATTGCAGTTAGACATGTATGCCATTCGATCTCAGCCTAGTATTCAGTAGAAGTTAAGCGTTCGTCGCAAGAACTGAAAGTCTTCCGTTAGATACACACTTATGAAAAATCACATACTGTGATGAAATGGCCGTCCAGTGCTTCCAGTTTTTCAATGTTTGTCCAACCTACATCGATTCGCAATCTCAATAATATTCCGCAAGTGTTATATCGGTTTGCTTTTGATAGGCTTGTTTGTGAACGGTTATCTTCACAAATCTCATTGCCGAAAAACTAAAATCCTTATCTCTACATAGAGTGGGTGATGAAGATCCTGTGTAGAATGACAATGAAAGCCTCGAAATTATAAACCACCCAGAATAAAAAATAAAACAACATAAAACGGGTAGCTTTTGTAGTCTTTCCAAAATACATGATTTATAATAATTAATTCAGTTTTGATAAAACAGGTTGCGTGTATTTGTTTTAGACAATATTTTTGTGGTAAGACAAATGGAAGTGAACTTAGTTTTTGTTATGAATAGGCAAATTATTGAAAAACATAAAGCACTAACTAGTTGCATCATCATAAATGAACATTTCTTAGCAGCGCATACTCGTGATTATATACGGAATTGAACTATTGACTCTGAAGCCACTGGGGGCGAATTTAATGGTGCTCTATAGTTCTGTTACCTTATTTAAAGGGAAAGTCTGCAAACATTCAAGAGGAGATGATAGATTGAGTATAGACATCACGTTTTCACATGGTATGTATGTAGTAGTATGTAAGAAAACAACTAATCTTTTCAATCAAACAGAAGAATCATTAACAAATGAATTGGTTTGTTTTCAGAAAGGAAACAAAAATAAACTTCAGTAACACTAAAACTTTGTAAATTCACCAATTACGTGTTTAAGAAAACCATTATTTGTAGCTCTTCTAAGGTTATTGCAAGTGATATTACGTACTTGGTTTCTCTAACCGGAGTGAATCTGGGTTCGAACTTCGGAGTTAGCGGCTAAAAGTTTAAGACCTTAACCATTGAACACCTGCTCCACAATACAAGAACTAGATATATTTTTTTCAGTTTAAAACGACTAGACTTGTGAAGAAGAAAATTAACACACATTCTAACTAAATAGAAGTTGATAGAAAAGAAGTATTTGTGATTTCAATATAGATAGAAGTGCATTGATATTGTAGAACAGTGTGGTTTATTAGTTAAAGTACCTGACTTTTAGGGAAAAGCAGCAGTAAGTAATGGGTTACAATATTGTCCCATTTACCTTCATATATAATCTTCTCAAATCTCTAGATTCTCTCAATAATTAAATATTTCAGTAAATTTTATCAGGTCAAACTTGTTTCAACTTATTAGTACTGTATGCTGACTGAAGTGGAGCGGTGACCTAGTAGTTAAGGGGCTCGGCTCTCAGCCGCCATGCCCACAAATCCAGGTTCGGGCCCTCTCACCTACTTTAGTATGGGCAACTGGGATAGCAGTATCACTAGTCCCTCACGCTTAGAGAGTGGGTCATACCCAAGTACCTGGGGAATGAGTTAAATTTAAATCTAAAACGTTAACTGGATTATGTAATCTTACATATTTTATAAGGGGCGTATCAACTACACCAACCAAACTATAATAATCAGTGAATATTCTGTTTAGTCTAGGCTTAGTGCCATCTGGTACTCATCTCAGTAAGCTGTAACTGTGATTTTGAGGGAACTAATGCTTCTTATAGGAGTCGAAACTAAGTAACTCAGTTTCACAGTCTAAAACGCAGGGACTGACTTCTTGTACGATTAACATGTTAGAAGTTGATTGACGACCGAATATTGATCAACATTAAATATCGATATTGTACTCTATACATGATAGATGAATAAATACCGACTAGTATTCAGGAACTAGGCGTGGATACAGCGCTTTGATTGAACTAAAATGAGAGATAATTGCTTGACTACGAGGATGTCCTTATAAAATTACCATTCAAGCAAACTGCTTCATGAGTATACTTACATCCATGTTTGTTATTTACAATGCACTGCCCGCAAATGCCCTGGTACGGCCGGGAGTGGGGAGAGTCAGCTCTCCCTCTCGAAATGCTCTCACATGGCCACGCGTATATAGCCTCTGCTAGGGAAGTCCTAATCACTGCGTTCTCGCACCACACGTGTTGTTTACAAAGTTGAGAGGACGAAAAGCGAATTTCCGGCGCTTTAACCGGGTTGGTGGACATGGAGAGTACACCTAGGGGAGTTGGAAAACCCTCACTTCAAACCATTGGTGCATATAAGCTCCAGTATCCTGAAGGAACAAATGGCGTATGAAACAATCGTTGGTTACCGGCTAACATGGAACTACATCTCCTTACGTTGCCCCACTTCTTTGTGGATCAGACTTGTGGGTTGGAGGTCCCGGGTGTGGCCTCCTAAGAAAACCACCTGCTTCGGTTTGGGAACCCCGGCAGTGTCACAGCCCTCGCACATATCAAGTGAGATCTGTGTGGCGCATATGTATTTGGTGCCTCCTTGTACCAATATTTATGTGTTAAAATAAATAATTAATAAATAAACCCACTATGAATATTAAACAGTTCAATAGTTTAATTATCTCCGTGTTGGGGTTGGGATACTGTTCAGGAACCCGAACCGAAGTAGGTGGCGTTCTTGACAGCCACTTCCCGAACCCTTGACCTAGAGGTCTAATCTACAAGTCAGTGGAGCAACGTAAGAAGATGCAGTCTCATGGTGAACATCAATAAACTCATAAGCCATTTGCTGCATCAGGATCCTGGAATTCATGTGCACTATTGGTTTGGAATCGGGGTTTTATAACTCCCGTAGGTGGATCCTCCATATCCACCAACCCGGTTACAGTGCCTGACATTCACTTTTTTCCTCTCAATTTCATAAACGACACTCCCACCGCAAGGAGCCATTGAGTAGGACTTCCCTGGCAGTGGCTTTATACTCGTGTCCGTGTAAGAGCATTTCGAGAGAGAGAGAGAGAGAGAGTGGGAGAGGGAGCACCGACTCTCAACATCCTTAGCCACACTAGGGCATTTGGGGACACTTTCTGTCTCTCTCATTGGTCTCAAACGCTTTGTAAGACAAGATTGAAGCATTGACTAGGACAAATGTTATAAACTGGATTTTATGAACAAAAAAGAACATCAGGATAACTACAACATTACCTGTACTTCGATTATTGATTTCATAATGATTAGATAGTGACTGTTATTGAGAAACTCAGTTACTCACAAAATCAGACTTATTAAGCATGGTAATGTTCAGAAAACTCCTTTTACAATAGTCACTGATGAAGTTATGAACTATACAGCAATCTTATTGAGCTACAAAAAATGTCCCATTCTAAGAGTACATTATACATATGACATTATGAATCACAACTTCCAATAATTAGACTTGATATTAATCAACCCACAATATAAACTAAAAACGGAAAATAAAGAGAGAGCGAAAGAGAGAGGGAGGAAGGGAGATGAGGGTTTGTTCCATATCAACTAATTTTATCCAATCGAAATGAATCAAATAATTGTTAAGTAGTTTCTATTTATTTATTATTCATGTCAGTCAGTATTATAAAATAGATTTCTTCAACATTTATCATTTCATACTTTAAACAAATAAAGTATCATATGTACTTATAACTAAAATGATGTAATGAGTGATCGACGGGTCGAGACGATACATATATATGTTCAACACACACACACACAAACACATATTTAGATACACAATCAACCAATGAACTAACTAAAAAGATTAAAAGGAAGTAACAAGTTAAAGTGTCAATAAAATCTATATATTAATCAAAGACTAATAAGTTGGAGAAAACAAAAAAAACAAACAAACTTAGAAGAAGTCACATTATTCACAATTAATTCAAAAGTAATCTCGTTATAGATATATACTGTCCTCCTTTAGGGATATGCTGGTGATCAAATTACTTATTCAATTAAATATTG